CACCTGAAATGTTTTAGCTCTCTATCTTATTTGGCTCCTGAAATCGCTTTTCCGCCAAAAAATCTGCATATTTTTTTAGGCGTCCATACGGATAACCAGGTTACGCGAATGATAATATTAAAACGGGAGAATCGCACATGTGATGAACACATGTGCCCGAAGCTTCAGCTTTCTAGCTTTTGTGGTTCCCGAATTGAAAATGGGTGACAAAAAGTGCGAACACACAAACATTACTCTATCAGTAACAGCAAAAGCTGGATCATATGTACGCCTGTTGCAGCGCTTTAGCGCGGCGCGGCAAAAACGCATAAAGACGAAGGTCCGGACGAGAGACAGCGAGCCCACGAAGCCTAAAGCAATATGTCAAATTCTCTTGCTCCAACGACCTGCAATCACTCACCGCAGGGTACCATCTATTCAGAGTGATCCCTACTGGAACAAGCGCCAGTCGCAGCCATTCTCGAGATTATAATACTCGACACGATGCTAAGAATTCATTTTTATGTGACAACTAATTTTAACGAACAATAAACACTTGCCAAATTCATGCCCAGTGGAAGTTTGATACTTTCAGGAGGTCGAAAGGGCTCATCGACGTCCTGCTCGCTGCTACTGCTAGCAATCGCTGCTTTACAGCTTTCTTCATAAATAAATTCAATTTCTGCGCGTTTTCGCTCCTCCCTTTCTTCTATAAAAAACTATGTTAATTTTTTCCCTTGCTTCACTGAAAAGGAAAAAAAAAACAACAAACGTGGCGGACTATTTCGATAACTATATTAGACAGGCAGTAAGTGGATCTCTGAAGCTGCCCACCGTGTTTGACTAGCCGGAACTATTTTGAACGCCCAGATTGGGGCCTGTTTGCGAATGCAGCTTTGCGAGGAAGTCAAGGAGAGGCTGTAGATATTTACACCCACAAACGCGTAAGAACAGATTCGCAAATTCGGACCGCTAATAACCACCATATTTAGACGGTTATTCGGCTCACTCATCCCTAATATACCTACAGAGGGCTAGAGGCAAAGAAAATGAATATATGCCATAAAACCACTTGTCAGAATGCTTAGCGAATACGCCCCTATAAAAAAAAAGTCATTGAAATCACTTATATAGTAAAATATACGCCCTAAAGGTGCTTAATTATTACTAATCTAATAGAAAGAACATCCCCCATGTATTAACTTCCCAAACAACTGCCCAGGTTTAATATAATGGACAGTAAAAATGAATGTTGAGCGGGATAATGTATTCCGAGCCTATTTATTTCGGAATTGAAGCGAAAATCTACCTTCTAATCTTCTAATATCCTCGAACATATCTTTATAGCGTTCCTCTTCGCACATTTCCTCTTCGAGCAATTCAGCCGGGCAATCAGTACCGCCATTCCCCTCCTGCACCGAGCTAGCTAAGTTCAGCAGTTCCACACTTAGCATGTGCAATCGACAATCATACCTGGAAACACAAATATGAGCAGAGTGTAGCTGTTTCTGATGCAGCAGCCCCCAACGAGGAAGCATCTAAATCACACTTTTTCTTTCTTCAGACCCTTTGGAAGTGACATATTTCGAAGCGTTTCCTCCTGGAGCAGTCCAGAAGTGCTCACAGTTTCAAAACTATTCATTTCACATTCAGAGTGCACTTACGGATCTCAGGCACTACCAATCTGCCCAACATCTGGGCGCTGACGATTCCATCCACACCTGCAAATCACCCGGAATTACAATTTTGTGAGAAAAAAAAAATGAAAACAGAGATATGCCGATCAACAAAACATAGCCCCCAAAATTTACAA